ATCAATTAATGGCTCAGCAACGCATGTTGGCTCAGCAAAGCATGTTGGCTCAGCAACGCATGTTGGCTCAGCAACGCATGAGCGTTGCTGAGCCACAGCAACCTTTCCTGTCCCCCAGTCCACCCCACTATTCCCCCCCCTCACCCGTCTCCTCAGCCTCCCAGCCATTCCCCACTCCACCGACCCTCGTCCTCCCCACCATTCCCTATTCCACCCTCCCCTCTTCCTTTCCACCATGCCCACTCCTCCTCCCCCCATTCCCCCGTCCCTTTGTTCTCCCCACCATTTTCCATTCCTCCATCCTCTCGTCCCCTCCACCCCAAACTCCCCCATCCCCTCGTCCTCCGCACAATCTCTCACTTCCGTCCCCTCATCATCCCCACCATTCCCCGCTCCCTCGTTCAATGCCTTCCCAAATGGTCTGATGTTCCCATCAGAAAATTGGGAACATCAAGTGATCTGATGTTCCTATTACTGAAATATAAGAAAAACAGTTAAAAAATGAAATGAAAATATGAAAAAATATAAAAATAAACTATTCTCACGAAATGAACGATCTGGTAAACAACACAGCCTCAATTACAATGCAATTCACACAAAATAATTAAATCAAAATTAAAATATATCAAAATCTAGGAAAATTCAATTTATCAATGCAATCAAAAACATTGAAATGGAATTGTAACATATCTAGTATAGCATGTGTGTTGCTCTTACATACAACAGATGGCGCTGTTTTTCCAAAAAAAGCATGTTTTTTCCTGTCACAGGTGAGGCATGTATATAGTAGATATATAGAAAGACGCATCCCTATTCGAATGCAACGTTGTGACAAAATTTCAAAGCAATCGGTAAAGAGGTTTCAAAGATTTCCCTGACATGATAAACACATGAAAAAACATTTTTTTTTTACTGTCACAGACGTGACATCTATAGAGTATGTATATAAAAACCTGCTCCGATGCGAATGGAACGTTGTGTGAAAATTTCAAAGCAATCGGTGAAGTACTTTCGGAGATTAGCGATTTTGAACAAACCAAAATTTCCATTTATATTATGTGTATTAATATATACTATATAATATATATATGTGTATATATCTATATATATATATATATATATATATATATAGAATATATTTATATATAGATATCTTATTTATATATATATTATATAATATATATATATATATATATATATATATATATATGGATGTATGTATGTATGTATATGTGTGTGTGTGTGTGTGTGTGTGTGTGTGTGTGTGTGTGTGTGTGTGTGTGTGTGTGTATCAGAAAACTCAGCGTAATAGTAAACTATACCCATTGTTCAATATCTATAAGATTGGATGGGGTCCGTGGACGTGCGAATTCAATCCAAGACCATAAGGCTGCTCAGACCGGTTAATTGATGGGGGTACACACGTCGCTCACAGTTGAGTGTCCCAAGAGTTAGCAGGGCTGTCGGCGGGGCTGGCCACAGTCGACCGGTCTAGGAGTGTCCGGGTGAGATGTCCGGGTGTTACAAGTGGATTGGTTTCCTTATCCCAGTTCCCCGAAGTTGGTAGTCTGGTCGAATTTCCTTCTTCAAGGTGTCGTAGTCGCGAAGGTGGTCTTGAGGGACGACCATGCGAAGGATCAGTCCTCCTTCCCTTCACTTGTATTCCTAGTTGTCGTTGTGGATTATGTAGTTATGCTGTCTGTTCTGCTTGGACAGTGGGCGGCCACATCAGATATACCCGGAGGAGGCAGCATGGAAACCTGTCAGTCTGGATAGTGCCGGTGCTGAATCTGGAAGGGAAGATGGTGCTCGGGGTGCCGCATGAGGGGCAAGAGAGCTGGTGACATCGACTGAAGTATGGGAGTCGGTTGACTCATCATTGTCGGCTTTCTTGGGTTCGTCTTCGGAGTCGGCCTCGTCGTCCTAGTCAGCTGTCCTGGGGGCCACTGCTGTCCCTCTCAGTGGGACAAGCTTGAGAACCATGGAGTTGCTGTGGCCGGATTGTTAGGGCTCCCTCGGGGTCGGCTCAGGAATTCCCCAGGGTGGAGAGTCCGGTAGCAGTTGTGGTAGGAGGAGCTGGAAGAAAGTCACCGGGCACAGCAGCTGTCTGAAGTCCATAGCCGACGAGCAATCTGTTGATGACGTGGATGTAGCAGATAATGTCGTTGCCCGCCATTTTGTCGGTGAAGTGAAGGCGGACGGGTAAAATGGTGATCTTGGTGGAGGCTGCAGGCTAGGCTGGTGGTGGTGTGGTCAGAAGTGAAGTGGTCAGGTGGTTATGGCGTCCCTAGGTGCAGGGGGGTGGTGAGGGTGTCACATGTGCATTCCGTGGGATGACCGGAAATTCCGACAGGAGTGGGTTTGCTGGTCGAGGTATGGTAGTGGAGGAAGTGGTAGTTGTCATCTTCTGCATTTCCTCCTGCCGGAGGAGACAGTCAGGCGAGACAGAGTGTGGGCCATTGCAGAGCAGGCAGTGTCGGTGGAGGATGTGCAGTCCGTGTAGTGGTTTGTCGCTATTTTATCCGCGCTCACTTGGTGCACTTCCTGGTGTAGTTGGAGTACTGGTAGCACTGCTGGAGCTCCATGAAGCTTTCCTTGGTCACTTGGGAGGGTGGTATGGTGATTCCTGCACACTTCTTCTTGTTGATGGTACATGCAGTTTGCATGAAGAGTTCATCCTCCCGATGAATGCTCGATTACAAATGTTGTGAGAGACCAGTTAATGTTGAGAATGACAATGTTACAAGTGTTTGTTGCGTTGTACTGTAGATAGAGCAGCTTCGACTGAACAAAGGCGCGTGTTAGATGGAGATTTACTGCACTGTAGGTCGGACGTTGTGTTTATTGCGTCAGCTGATCCTTGGTGCTGTGACGAGGCAGTTGTTTTCTGTGGGTGGCGCCAAGTATAAATGTGGAACAGGTCAAATGTGGCAAAATTTGTTGGTCGACTGGAGATATTTAGCCAGTGCTTTGACTATTTGATATTTTTCATGTAACGAGGGGTCCCGTCCTCCTAATATATGCTCGATGGTAAAAAGTATTTTAAGTGCGATAAATACTTGTTTGAAGTTTACTCTGGCAATATGATGCCAGAAACAGTGAAGGAGATAGTGTTCATTTGTTTCCGGCACATGCCAGTGGATGCAGAGTTTGTTTATGTCTGTTCTGCATTTAAAGCTGTGTGCTGCCAGTTTGGTGTGTTCCAGCCTTAATCTGGTCATCGTTACATCAACTTCTCTGTATTTATATCTGACATGTTTCCAAGCTTCTAATTATTTTATGGTAAAGTACAAAGATAAGCATGACGTTTTCCATTTCATAGAAAATCTCAGGTGATGGTATCTATGAAGGCTCCTCTATGCGCAACATAAGGAATTGGATGAGGAGGTAATGTGAGATGTGTTGTGTATCGCTTTGGCCAGCTGATCTACAAGTTCACTATGAATTATATCACAATGAGCTGGGACCTATTGGAGAGAGATGTCATAACCGTTCAATCGATGTTGGTAAATTGAAGGCATGGGTAAACAAACTCTTTGCACGTTGTGGAAGAGTATGTAATTGCTTGAATCGCACTCTTGGAGTCACTACAGATTGTATATATTCCAACTTGTAATATTGTGATTATATGAAGAACTTGGTAGAAGGCATATAATTCAGCTGTGAAATTGATAATTGGTTTGGCAACCACTATCCCTGCTTGAGGTGGTTGTGACTGATAGTTGGCACACATTATATGTTGATTTCCGTTTCTCCCCTGAAGACCGTGGACAGGAGTGGAACGTAGTGCTCCACATATAAGTTGCACGGCATTGTTGTGTATGGCCTATTTAGGTTAGTAGGCGCCACCCATGCATATGCCTGCCAGCAATAGTCTAGGTGGCTGTGAATGTAGATTGTACAGGAATGGAGCAAAATTTCATGGTGTGCTCTCCTGGTTGTGCCAGTGAGGGCTTGAAGTATGATGAGTCGCAGTTGTGTCGTCTGTTTAAAATGTTAAATGTGTGCGCTTTCCAGGTAAGTAAGGGCGAGTCGAAGTGCATGCCAAGGTATTTATCTTCTCATTCGTGTTGGATGGGAGTGATGTGTATTGTGAGGTTAGGTAGATGAACAAGTTTTTTTTTTAGTGAAAATCTGATAACAGGTTTAGGAAGTACTAACTTGGAAGCCCCATTGTTGTGTCCAATCAATGAAGTGGTCAAGGGCTGTTTGCATTGATGAGACTATTAGGTAGGGCTTTGTTTGAATAATACAGTGTTAAATTGTCAGTGTACGCCTAGAGGTGAACAGGATGGATGTTAGGTAAATCGACTAAGAATGCAGCAAAAAGGGTCGGGCTTAGAATGGAGCCTTGTGGGACATCAGTTTGAATAGGAATGCTATCTGAAAAACCTCCTTGTATATAGACTTTGCACAGGGTGGTCTCCTAGTCAAAATACAAGCACTCTACAATTTTTGGTTGGTCAACCGGCGGTAGCGAGTGTGTGGCTGTCGAGGTCATTTGTCTGTTCCGGCAGAGAGTGGTTATAGGAAAGTTATTTACCTGTATGCAAGGAAGGGTCTGGCTTAGTAGCCAGAGTTCTTTGGAGGTTTAAGCTCCATTAGCCGCAACCCCCTCAGCATGTCCAGGACCAGGACAGATGACAGGTCAAACGCCTCATGAGCTTGGTCGACATCATATCTATATACTTAGATTCATTGTTACATCCTTCAGGGGTACATGTGTACATATATATACCATGTTCGACTCCTGCAAAGGGTTCTTGTTTGGCTTTGGGCTGTTTTAAATTAGGTTAGTTATCTTCCTTGTTTTATAGAACATGATGATGATGTCTTTGCTTTGGTTTGTGATTGTGCCTTTTACTTACTCCTTTACAGATTATTTCATTCATTATTGTCTCCTGTCTTCATTCATTGTGTATGGTAGCTTTGTAATATAGTTTTAGTAGCGGTGTTGTCGTTTCTGTTCTAGTTGAAGAATTCCACCACCGGTCCAAGTTTCGTCTAATAGTGGTTTCTATCTCGTGGTTACTGTAGCCATTGTTCACCACGAGATTAGCACTAAGACGACACTTGGACAGGTCGTACAAGTAGAAACCAAGAAGAGTAACTACAACACACACACACACACACACACACACACACACACACACACACACACACACACACACACACACACACACAGAAGCTGGACTATTGTAAAGTAACCAGCGGTGTGCCTCAAGGATCGGTGCTGGGACGCATTCCTTATTTATGTAAATGACTGCTGGAGTTGAGTCTTACATGTCGATGTTTGCAGATGATGCGAAACTAATAAGGAGGGTTGAGACAGATAAGTATTGTAGGATTCTCCAAGATGACTTGAACAAGATGCAGATCAGGTCCGAGAAATGGCTGCTAGAGTTCAACACAAACAAATACAAGGTAATGGAAATAGGATCAGGAACCAGGAGACCGAAAGGCCAATAAAGGATGAGGGAAAACTACCTAGCTCCCAATAACGACTAGAGAAAAAGTCTTGGGAGTGAGTAAAACACAAAACCTACCTCCAGTGGCTTAAATAATTAGAATAACGTCAGCCGCATATTCTACGCTAGCAACAGCCAGAACATCTTTAAGGAAATTAAATAAGGAGGCTTTAATATCACTGTATAATGCCTATGTGAAGCAAGTCTTAGAATACGCCGCCCCATCGTGGAGCCCCCATCTGAAGAAACACAAGGCAGATCGAAAGGTTGCAGAAATTTTCAACTAGAGTCGTCCCTGAGCTGATTAGGATGAGGTACAAAGAGAAACTCAAGGAACAAATCATGACTACGTTAGAAAGAGGAGGGGTGAGGGGGGACATGATACTGACGTATAAGTTACAGGGTGGAAAAAAATGGTAATGTTTACAATAAATATCAACAGAACAAGGGGGCACAGATAGAAGCTTTAAACTGAGATGTGTCATAGAGATGCTAGAAAGTTTTCTTTTAGCATAAGAGTAGTAAATGGGAATGACCTAAAGGAGCAGGTTGTAGAGGTAAACTCTAGACCCACCCAAGAGATGGCACGGGCATGAATGGGCTATTAAGTAAGACTTTAGTATGACTCACCTGTTTCTTAGACTCAGTATAATCTTGCAGGTTCAGATGCTTTGAGTGTGAATGCTCATCTCATCTAGATGTGCTGTAGGGTCTAGCTTCAGCTGCTAGGACCCCTTCTTTCTTCTCAGAAGTTTCATATTGTGATAATTGTTAATTTCTTATCAGCCTGAGGTGGTCCCGAAAATCAGAGGTCTGGTTTCAAACAAGCCCTCCTGGTAGGTTTTCTGTTCAACAAGGCAGTTACACTCCGCTACTCGCAGTTGGAGCATGAATTATTTAGTGTTGAAACTGCGAAATGAATTTGTTTCAGTAATATGTTCTAACTTGTTACGTTATATGAGCTCGATTCTCTACTCTCTATAAATTCCGCGAATCGTCATTGTGGCTCATTTCCATTCATATTTAAGCATTATTTTCGACCTGTTGCACTGTTTCTCAGTTTGACAGACGCTTCTTTGTCCCCTTCAATAGATTTATCCTACTGCTGCTTCTCTGTTCCTCAAGTGTGGGGGAGTTCTCCTTCCCTGAGACATCACAAGAGCTTAAGCGATCTCTCTGCATAACTCTGGTTTCTGTACAGGTTAGTGTTTTGTCAGCCTTCATTCAGCGGCCGGATACTCAGGGTTGAGTCTCACGCTGTATACAACGCTCTGAAGGCGGCTTTGTAAGGGTTCCAGAAACCTATCCACACACTTTCCAGTTTGTATATGTTGAAGACTAATCTAGTAATAAGCTTCCTTGGCATCAACTTTGGGATTTGGTCGACACTTAAATCTTTCTCTGGTCGACACCTACAACTTTTGCCCTCTTCAGTATTGAAAGCTGACTTCTTCATCCTGAACTGTTCCTTAGCTCTTATTGCTCCTGTTATTGCACTCATAACTTTGCATTTAGCAGAGTTGAACTTCTGTGGCCATGTATCAGAGTGACTCGGACATGTGTCCATGTCTTCTAATATTCCACAACAGGCAAGTGCACGCTTTTCTCACGATTCTCCTCATTTGTTTACTCACATTTACAATTTGATCACATTAATCTGAAAAATTTATGAGAAGACCTTAGCAGCAGGAGGGGAATGAACCAGGTT